AGCTCGTAATTAGTTGTTGAAGTGCTTTTTAAACTGCTATTACGTTCTGCTTACACTGGTAGCTCAAGTAGTATAAATTCCAATTTTTATCCGCCCAATAGATAAGTGACTTCATTATATTAAATAATGTATTACAGTTACTATCTAAGTTCCTCTAACTTTAATCATTGACGCCCCTCAATTACAATCACAGCATCTTAAAGGATTGTAGGCATATTTAACTAGAGCTGATGCTAATCAGACTTATTTAGTTAGAAATTTTGGTAATCATAATTTTAGTCTACAAAACATACACAAATTTTGCAAATAATTTGACATACAGGGTGTTTCATAACAACATAATGGTTTCAGAGAGAATAAAATTCAAACTTCGAGAATTCTAACAAATAAAATTTAATTAACAAATAACTTGGAAGATACACACTGTGATGTGAAAAGAAAACTTAATGAGTTATTACTCAAAATTAGATAGAAAAAGCGAGGACTGATATGTACATATATGTATATATATAAAGAGAGAGAGAGAGAGAGAGAGAGATCTACAATGAAAGATTTATCATGTCCGTTATAATGCCCTCAACTAGCCAAGGACTTGCTAACCGTTGTTTAAGTGGAGATTACTTTAGTACGATAACGATAACTAATACGTACTACATTTAGATTTACACTTAGAAACATTTTTGTTCATTGTAACACCCTTAACTTGGCAAGTGGTTGCGACCTATACTCGAATATAGACATTTATATTTAAAGATATCTCTAGTCCGTTCTAATACCCTCAACTAACCAAGGTATTCCAAATTATAATCGAATATATACATTTACATTTAAAGAAATCTTTTGTACGTTTTAAGGCCCTTATTTACCCAAGGGATTGCGACCTATACTCGAATATAGACATTCGCACTTAGAGATCTTTTTTGCCTTTCACAACGCCCGCAACTCAAAAAGGATTGGCGAGCTTTACTACCCGTTGTTTAGATGGAGAAATGGATATAATTATAAAAATCTACACTTAGAAACATATCTGTTTCGATGTAACGCCTTCAACTTGCCAAGAGATTTCAAAGTTTATTAAGCATTGCTTCTGCTAAACCTTTGTATGTTGTTCTTGGTAAACTAGTTTTTAAGAGTTAAGAAGATCCAAATAAATCACCTTTTGTTACCTCTGTCAGGCCAGGCCTGAAACGATTTCGCAGATGTTGAAGTGCATCGTCTGTAGTCGTGAACAAAGACAACAAATACGATTGTTGATTTTAGTCTTTCTTATCAGGCGCATAGTTTACTTATTGGAATATGCCACCTACGTAATACCCAGCACTATAGTAGGTTTGCTTAAATACAAAAGATCACTCCCTATTTTGTTTTTGTTTTTTACCACATAGTCTTTTAATCTCTTTTCTTAGCAGTAGTGGATTTATATCATGGAATAACGTGCACATTATGATTTGAATTAAGATGCTAGTCATATTTACATCCTATGTCTTTTCTGGTGATCTCACCTTGTATTTTAGTCTCTTCAATAGCTGAAACTCAATAAACAGAGACTTTGAAACGCTTAGTATTAAGAAATCAGGCGTTATATGTCTTTACAATCCATGATCTGGTCATTCTAAATTTAAATGCTTTAATTGCTATCTGACTGTTAAAAAAGATAGGAACTGATATAAGAAGAATCGGAAAATAAGAAAGCAAAATAAGAAGTTTCAATTGTACTAAACAGGGAGTGCAAAAGGGCTGATATAAAGAATCGGAATATAAGATACCGAAACAAGAACCGTGTACTAAACAGGGAGTATAAAGGAATTGATATAAAGAATCAGATAAGTAGATCTAAACAGAAATGTAAAGGATCGAGGCAAAGGATAACATAGGAAAAAAAATATAAATAGGTAAACATCCTCCTTATTTACTGAAGTAATTAAATCAGCTATTTAAGATCTTATAAAGTAGATATATGAGCAATATGTAAATCCACAAAGAACTTCTATTACTAGGTGCATACTTTAAACTTTTAAGTGCTTTCTAATCGCATAATATTATTTTTTCCAAAGCTTACAATTCATCTTTACTTTTTAATTATTTTATTTATCTTAATTTTTAATATTTTATTTATTTTGAACAATTCTCCTAGTAAATTCAAATCCCCATGCAACCCTAAAATTGAGCTCACCTTGTATGATTGTTAATTGAGTCACATATGCGTGCGTACGTGCGTACTGAAATGTTTATAGATTTGCAAATGAGCTAATTAGTTTTATGCTAATTAGTTTGCAGACTTAATTGAATATAATAGTTAAAGAGATTATATCGGTATATACGTTTAATGGAATAAAGTTTGGTTTTTAAGTTTTATAGAAACTTTAATTGAAATGGTTGGAATTTTAATACAAGCATCTTGTAAAATACTTCGCAAAACCAATGCAAATAAGTATATTAATTATTAATGGATTAATCGTCTTAAAAAATCTAAGACTAAAAACGTTGTAACATATAATAACATTATTAAAAAAATATATTTTAAAAGTAAAAGTAAAAGTAATAGAAAGACAATCATATAGTATATTTTTTCTAGAAAATATTTAATTCCGTTGAAAAATGCGTACTCAGTACTATATCTGCCGAGGCAAAGGTGTTAGTATATATTATTATTGGACGATATTTAATTATAATTTTAAATTTAATTATAATCTTACCATCAAAAAACTAAAACAATTCTTATTTAATATATTTACATCTTCTCACAAGAAATCTATTTCGAATATAAAAAAACAAAAAATAATATTTATGTAAAAGATCATATCAAACAATTTTTCTAAAAAACTTCCAGTGCTGCTTCTTTTTCTGTTTACTTTCGATTTAAAAACTCTTTCTAGTATAGCGACGTCTTTCATTCTCAAGACACGACAATACCAGTGAATTCAATAAATATTCAATAGCTAATCATCAATATCTTGAGAAAATAGTCGTTAACTTATTCGAATGATTTAATCGTTACTCACCTACTGAGGACAAAATATCTTACCAAATAATTTCTTTAAAAGTCATCCACTGCAGATTCTTTTTTCTGTTCGAACGTTCAGCTTCACGGGTAAATTCTAACATCCTAAGTTTTTCAGTCAAGAGAGTTATCCATAGATTAAGTTCGATTGAACGTATAATTGCACCTTTTGATAATAGTAATTTTTCGATTGTTTTTCTGGGTGATATTATTGTCTGGGTGTTCATTATGGCGGCATTAAGATAGATAATATTTTTTTTTTGTTTTCAACCTCGAAAGTACAGTTACTCTCGATACGACCACCAATCGGATGATCGACTATTTGGTTATTATCGACAGAAACTTCGTTTTGGTAGAAAATTCAGTTACAACAATATTGATATTGTAAGTTAAAGGAAATTCTTCTTTATATTAACTTTGGGTTTTTAACCCAAAGAAGACTTAATATAATTAAATACAATATTCTAATTACTTAATTTTACATCTCAGCTTTAATAATTAAAAAGAAAGTTATCAGATTAAAAAGTACTGAATCCATTTCCTGATATTATTGTCTGGGTGTTCATTATGGCGGCATTAAGATAGATAATATTTTTTTTTTGTTTTCAACCTCGAAAGTACAGTTACTCTTGATACGACCACCAATCGGATGATCGACTTTTTGGTTACTATCGACAGAAACTTCGTTTTGGTAGAAAATTCAGTTGCAACAATATTGATATTGTAAGTTAAAGGAAATTATTCTTTATATTAACTTTGGGTTTTTAACCTAAAGAAGACTTAATTTAATTAAATACAATATTCTAATTACTTAATTTTACATCTCAGCTTTAATAATTAAAAAGAAAGTTATCAGATTAAAAAGTACTGAATCCATTTCGTTCTGCATTGTATCTCCAGTATATATTCATATATATAGTAAATACAGAGGTATAGGGAAGGTATGCAGATCTGAGGTCAATTATTGCTTAGTCTGATGAAGTGATAAACAATAATATAGTCAAGGCGTAAAGAGGGGTTTTGAAAATACCTTGAGTTAAGAAAGAGTAAAAGTGCTCAAGTGCACTGGCTCAAAGAGCTTCAACATAATAATAATACAAATAAATTTATATATATATAAAGTTACAATTTTATACATATGTTTGTATGTCATATTGTCAATATTTGAAAGGAGACTCCTCTGTGGTATTATTTAAATAGTTAATTAAATATAAAAAATTATTATTGGCGTTACATGCGAAAACACTGTGCAGACACAACAACTAACAGACTAATAAAAAAATATATTTATGAATATATTCAATAATATACGTCAATATTATATATAGTCATATAAATTTAATGAACTATTTATGCCAATAAATTAATTTTTTTTTGTATTTTTAATGTGTGTAAATTGATTTCGTTTGATAAAAAGTGAGGAATTTCATACGTTTCCCAAACCAATTGAAAGGACTAAAATATATTCATGTAATTGAGTTAAAATTTATTTATTCGACAGAGTGTGTACATAAATGTTTATTAATATTTCACATATATTTCTTTGTGAATTGAACGATTTATTAAAACATTTTAAAGTATTTTTTTTTAATATACATACTACATGCGTGCTTTGCCATGTATTTGATTTAAAATTAAAAAATATTTATGTTTAATTAATACCCGTAATTGAGCAAAATTTTATATCAAGTTTACAAAAACAAATAGATAAGTTTTATTTTACAGTTGTATTTTTTTTTTTAATATTTTAGTCCGGTTTTTGTGATGTGCGTAATTTATAAATAATTTTATAAACGAAAAATATTTAATATATAAATTTGTTATTAAAAAAAACTATCAATTTTGTTCCAGAGACTTTTATAGAAAAAATTTGTTGCGCTACCCTAGCTAAAATTTATTATATGAGAGCTGATTGTGAAAGTTTAAATTTTTTATTTAAGTTTTAGTTTTTTTTTTGTATGATTCAACAATAGAAGTGTCGTTTATAAATTAACTTTACTCATTGCTTCATGAGTTGTTAAATATATTAAAAAAATTAATAGAAATATATATTAATTTGTTTGTAATGTTTACAACTTATAACCTCGTCTCATGACTAAATCAAAATAGGCGTCATGATCGATAGATGCACTGATTGAGCTATAATAGTTCACAAACTCCTCTTTTGTCACCTTACCATCACGATTGCCGTTTTCACCTTCAAAATTGTTCAGAAATTGTGTCAATATCTCGGTTTCTGTCATTTCACCACTTAAATATTTTGGATGATCCTTAACTGAGTATACTGTCTTCAAATCATCGATCGTTATGATCCCATCACCAGTTCTATCCATTTTTTCAAAAGCTTTGTTTATTATATTCAGGCGTGCATTGGACATTGGTGGCTTCAAAGTAAATGGATATGATTATTGTATCAAAATTTATACCACTATTAATTTCTACTGAATTTCAATGAATATACTTACCCTTAATTTAAGTAAGAACTCTGTCATATTAATTGTGCCATCATTGTTCTCATCAAATCTGAAAGTTAAGATTTTGAGCTTAGCATACCATATTTAATTATAGTACTTATAACTTATCAATTGATATAGTATGTGTAGTATGCTTTGTGAGGTCTTAAGATTCACTGCATCACAATTTTTTAAAACTTAATATAAAATGTGAGTAATTTAAAAATTTGAAACGTATTCATAGATATTTTACAAAATATATAGCCTTATTTGAAGTGTATTTGAGTACACTTTGTCTGTAAACATGGAAAACATCACTCCAATGACTCCGATGGGTGATTTTATAGTATCCCTTCTATTTATGAACCTAATTTGTCAGTATATTTTCGATTGCTTAGTTTATCAATGTCAACTTTAAATGCATATTTCAAGCATTAATTGTCTCTAGATGTTTAACGTAACATTTATTCTTAAGAGAATCACACTAAAAAGAGTCCAAAGGAAAGCGATTCATTTCATATCATTTATGTCGAAGTTAGAATTAGTGCCTAGACAGATTAACAAATAGGTTACATTAAAAATGAAAGATGCGTTATCCTTTACATTGCATACAATATACAACGCACCCATTTTATTTAGTTTAGTAAGCTTCTAAAGTTATTAGATGAAATATAAGATATTTTATATTAACTAATTAATATATAGTTTATCAGTTCAAAAGTAAGGAGGGTAAACGACAGAAAGGAAGATACTATGTCCTAAACCACAGAATGGTTCTGGCCTCAACATCGTTGTGGTTCCTACTTTCTTCACTGGTTTGTCTGTTTATTCATTTCTACGTGCACCAATATGTCTTAGTAATCAGAGAATCAATGCCTTATTTGAGTCGCTGAAGAGATTTAGCTTATCAAGGCATTCTTTAACACACTTAAATATTTACTAAATTTCCGCTTGAAAAATGCTGGTGTTTTTTCCCAGCATCTTTAAAGTATGGAAAATACATACATAAATTAATTAATTTTTTATACATTAATTTGTTTATTATTGATATTTAAAAGTGCTTAATTAAAGCAAAAAATGCTGTATTTTTTCATTTTGTTATATAGCAAAAATAAATGGTTACCAATAGAGCTTGTAACTCAGTAACGTTGTATTTCAACGATTAAGAGTATTGAATAACGTACCAGCCTAAATACTTTTGATAATAGATGTGAAAGAATAGTAATACTATATATAATAGCCATATATATACAATGACACAAAAAAAATGTACATGTATTTTTTTTAAATTTTTATACAATCGTAGTTGTGAGCATTGATATATTTAAAGGCTTTCTCTTTTCGATTTTAGGTATATCTCATACAAGTAGTGCATAAGAATCAACATAAAAGCGTTATAGTAAAATATTAAAATATTTATTAAAATGAAAAATTTTTTTAAAAATTCATTAAATTTTTGTGCATGAATAATTAAGAATGGCACAGAACTGAATACCATGAATAGCAAATATAAAAAAAAAATGCATGGAAAAGGGAAATATTGAACACTTGAAAAAGCTATTGAACTCAAAACCATACATTTGTAGTAGAAAAGTTTCAAATAAAAATTATGTTAGAAAAAAGTTAATACGAGGTTTCTATGCCAACCTATTCTGTAAGCCTCATAGCAATATTTGTGACTAGTAACACTATGGATACTTATTAGTATTTTCTGAAACTGCCCTCGTATCAGTATTTTCTTATTTAATTTTTATTGTAGTCCTCTTGTCAGACTGTGCAGTAGTGATGTATTGATATATGCCTTTGCCATATTTAACAATGGCAAATGTAACGTTTAGCATTGGCATATTGCATATTGCACATTACACATTGGCCATTACACATAGTTCAAAGGCAGATGTGCACAGTCATTTCGAAATCGACATAAAAAGTTATGCAGAAATATGAATTAAAATGTTAGACATACGAGCACATTTGAATTTTTATAAAAGTATTGTTGGATTTTAGCTATAGCAGATTGAGAGGTTAGCTAGAGTGTATACTATAAACTGCATAGATATTTGTTTTGTGCATCTGTGATACTCATATGTTCTAAGTGTTGTCATTTAAGCAGCCATGCGTCCTGTCATGGTTGTGCACTCAATTTTTACTGTTGCTGCTGCTGTCATAGTTACCTGGAAAACATTTGGTTGATCTCTTCATCCGTCACTTCGAGACCCGTTTCACGTATGCCCTTTGAAAATTCCTCTAAGTTCAATGATTTGCTTCCATCATCGTCCATGTTACGAAATGTTCTATTGAAAATAATAAAATATATTGTCAATATAAATCGAGTAGTGATGAATTGTAACAGAAAAAAATATTAAAAATATTTATTTTATATTAAAATGATTTTTATTTGTAAATTTACTTATATAAAATGTTTATTATGAGAAGGATTGTAAATCTTTATTAGTTCTGAGTTAATAAGTTCAACTCAGGGGCATATCTTTGATAGTGATTTTGCAGTTCATTAAACTATTTATAATCAGTGGCGGAGCTAGACCAACTCTGCACGACGGCGACATCCGAATTGCGAGGCCCCCTTTATAACCTAGTTGTAAAAGTAAATAAGTTACATTCACTAATACGACAAAGCATGATTGAAAGTTTCATTGCTAATCAAATTAAAATAAACTCAAATTAAAATAAATAAATGTTCCTACTTTTAGCCTCACTCAATTTTTTTTTTATATTATATCATAATTTGCTGCTATTTTTGTTTCAGTTTATAGAATTTCCAATGGAAATAGTCTCTCTTGGATCATCATACTTTTCTAATACGTCTTAATCAATTTTAACTTTGAGAAGCTTCTTTCCGTCGAAGCTATACTGACTAGAACTGTGAACATGAATCTGGTTACTATATAAACACTTTGAATATGGTTAATACCTTTATCAAACCAAATTGTTCAAAATATTTATTAAGTCCTTAGAATCCACAGTCGGTAACTTTTTGCTAGGCCCCCGTGGGCGCGAGGCCGTCGGCAGTCGCCGACATGGCTGACGCCTAGCGACGCCACTGTTTATAATTATAGTAATGGCGTTTTCGATCGGTAAATCTGGATACAAACTAAATTTACTATCGATTTGTCAAGTTTTGTTGCCCAATCAAACATACTATGAACAACCAATGTATGTATGTGAAACAAAGCTTTTTTTTCAAAATATTAATATATTCTGAAAACATATATCTTTCGTAATTGCCCTATAAAATTATTTCGCCACAACTAGCATACACTTTTCGTTACTATTGTATATATTGACGAAGGGTTAAATTCAACTATCACCGTATGGTAAGTCTTATCTCTAATGGCATTTAAGTCTTTTTTGACATTAGTAGATATCGTTATTTATTATATTTATATAGGATAATATTTATATTATTATTTAATAAATATACATATAACGTAGTTATATATCAATTTAAGTGTTATATATATTTATTATTTTTTTACCTAGCTAAGCCCAAAATTCCGGTGGCACCACGACTGAAACAAAGCAAACGAAGCTTATCGATTGGATCTTTGTCACGTCCATTGGCCAGCTGTCGTTTCGAACTATTAATAAGAGATGCTTCTTTTGAAAAAAAATCTTCACGTGACGCCATCTGTAAGTAAAAAAAATAAAATAAAATATAAATAATATATAATATATATAATATATGTTTAATTTGAAACTAATTCAGCACTCAATTAAAATAAAAAAATGTTTGAAGTTTTCAAGACCTGTCGCTATTAACAATACCTGCGAAGTTCTGTGAAATGTATTATCATGCTTTACGGTGTAATAGGTCCTATAAAGGTAGTGGACAAAGAGTGTGAGAAACACAGAAAAATAATGAATATTTGAAGTCATAATTGATTGATACAAATGTTAAGAACTAATCCTTAACTACTGTGAATTAATGGTGAAGATCGTTGCGCCCCATGGTATATGAAAAAAACGAAACCATATAAAGTGCTAATGTTCATTGAAAGCATAAGGGTCGGTTAAGACAAGTGCTTTTAGAACAATGGACTGCCTGAGTGGGGATTCGCTAAATAATAATAACAATTGCAGTAATTGCACTATTTTTTCAACGATATACTTCCAAACTCAAAGAGCTATGAAGAGATATGGTAGAGATTAAAGGCAAGATATTTAGGAATATATCTAAAACTTTCTTGAATATTATGCTACTGCATTAATCTGCTGTTTTAACAGCGCTATGATATGAAGTAGAAATGTTAATTTTATGATAAAATTTTTATCGTCAACAATAAAATCATTACAAATGTGATTAATCCAAGTGACGATCTAATAAGAAATAATCTGAAGACATTAAGGTAGACGTTCACATTGTTTCTGCACACATTAGTAGTCTTTTTTTTTCATTAAATTTTTACTTTCAGTGTTTTGATAATCTTTACCTTTAATAATAAAGACTGTAATTAGGTTGAAATAATACTGATGTCGTCATTTCGGTAATAATTCTTTAATGTATAGTATACCTTCTGCTCAAAAAGTATCCGGATTTTGTTGTTTGTTAACTAATCCTCAAGTAACAGACCTTTTTCAAAAAATTTTTTTATGTTGGTACACCCTTTCTTGATATATGGTACAAATTTGAGACCCATCTGTCAATTAGTTTGTTTACAGCAGCTGTTAATGTGAGACAACCTCAAGTGCATTTAGCGATTTTTACTATGGAAAATTCTTGTTGGATGCGATTTTTCGACCAAATACGGCCCCACTGTCATCGCTTAGGCACCATATTCGCCAGATCTGGCGCCGTGAGACTTTTTCCTGTTCCCGAAACTCAAATTGCCCCTTCGTGGTAAGCGTTTTGAGTCGATTAAATTGGTAAAAGAGATTTCGCCGAAGAAACTAAAAGCCATACCTTTACGGGCCTACGAAAAATGTATGGAAGATTGGGTTAAGCGTTGGCATATGTATATCGCTTCAGAAGGAGCATATTTTGATCGAGATAAAATAAATTTGGAATAAAATTTAAATTTGTGTGTTTTTATTTACAAAATCCGAGTACTTTTTGAGCAGAAGGTATATATAATTGGCCTACTTCTGTTGGTTATACAGTCAGTTATGTTTATGAATAACATTTTGTGCTCCTTTTACAAAATTTATTAAAAAAATATCAAGACTCGTAAACTGAGTAGTATTTTTTATATTATATTTATATTTAAATTAAATTTAATACTTTTTTTCATTACTATTACTATTATTACTATTCTTTATTCCTAAGAATTTTATGTTATGGTCGATTAGCTTGTTAATTTTATATAAAATTAATGGGTTTGATACAGGAAAGCCACAACTATATTATTTATTAACAAATTGCCCTCGACGAAAACTACTATGTAATGAAGTAGTATTTACATATTATTTTGTATTTTCTATTATTATTTTCGAGTACTTTAGTAACTTCAATTTTTGTATTCTAAATGTTTATTAATTGAATTTGTTTATTATCAAACACATGTCAACTTTGGAGCTGGTACTTTTAACATAAAAGAAAATTCTTTAATAAATAATCAAAACAACTTAAGTATGGAATGCTAATGTGTTATTAAAGTTATATAGCAATATATCATTAGATAAAAATTATAATTTGTATTTAATAAGACAATCAGTTTCTTATATTACATACCTTTATATGTATAGTGAGCTGTTTTCAATTATTATTATAATCGAGTGCTCTAATCAAAGTATTGCCTAGGTGTAATCAAAAAATATTAAGTTGAATTTATATTTATTAAGAAAAAATTAGTAGTACAATAACATATCGATTGTCCTTTTACAGTGGAAATACGTTTTTCATATAAATGTCCTTTGGCAAGTTTTGCAATTATATCCTTTATTCATTTTATTTACTCACCTGGGAGCTAATTGCGTTTGTATTATAATTCACTGGAAGTAGTAAACTGTATATATGGTTTCGCAGTGACATGAAATGATGGACTTAATAGATAGTATTATTACATGGAAAAAGCATTTACAGCCCCTGTGGGTATTATAGCAATGTGTTGAATAAAAGCTGTCAATTTGTGAGTACTAATTTACGATAATAATATAATCAAACGCGAAGTATTTTATTCTAATGACGCATTGGCAAAATAGTGGAAAAACTTATAAAAACTTAATACCTATTTATTTGCTGAAACGTGAGTGGTACAGTAGTGCAAAGAGTGTACATAGGATACTCGTGACTAACCCCATTTTAAATTAGAATAAATAAATAATTGAGATATACAATTTAATACTCGTCCTTCAAATAGATTTTTGCAAGGAACTTTGATTAATAACGGCAATGCTATTCTAATGGTAGTTGGCTTCTCAATACATCTGGTGTCTTCCCATTTGTGTCATGTTTTCTGATTTATATTTACAAGTTAATCCAAATTGTCTTTGATGTTCTGTTTTGTTACATTTTTACAAGATGTTAAGCAACATTTATTGTCATGTTTCAGCAGCAACAGAAATGTTGCAAGAGAACTTGGCAAAACTGCAGTCAATGCGTCAGGCGGTAGCCTGAACAGCATCCCATCGATGAGTTTGCTAGGCAAATCCCAGCAAAGAGTCAAGGTCAAGCAATTATCGATTGACTACAAAAAAGACTTTCCAAAGTCAATTTGGCAAATGTAACATATTGACATAAAATGAAGGACTGACTCACTACACATACATGCCAGCAGCTTTGTTTGTGTCAAATATTGGTGACACAATAAAACTACGTTAAATTAAAATAAACAATATAACAAAGCATAAAAAAATAAAGAAAAGAAACCAAAAAGAATATAAAAATAGTAAAAGAATTGGAACAATATAAACACGTTCCGTAGGAAAACAAACGAATGAAAAGCATTTAACAGCAAATACCAGGACCAATCCCAGTTACACTAACAGCACCAACAAATGAAACGGTGGCACTATTTAACGAACTACGACAGGACACGAAAAATAAATTATGGCTTTATGGAGGGCAAGCCAGAGACAATTTAACACGTCAGCAATAGCATAATATAGCACAGGACACTACAGGATAGTATATTGTGGGTAAACATCCTGCTGGAGCAGATACGTAAATGCTCATAAAAAAGCAAGCAAATAGGTCACGTTCAGTGACAACATCGATTAACCATAAATTGCAAGTTGAGCAGAAATCATCATCAAAGAAAACAAAAAGATAGCAAGTTAAAGTTTCCATACAGAAAGAAAAGTAAAGTACAAACACAAAGAAAATCTATAATAGCGAAATGGAACTTACTAGCGAATATAAAGAAATAAAAGTACAAACCTAAGAGCAACGGATATGCAGAAACGTGTCCAAATGCACTACAAAAGTAAAGCAAAACCTTAAACAAATATGGATTAACAAGCACAAATTAAAGTATCTTTATAGGGTGACGATTGGAGACGCTTGGTAAAGCTTGGTCACCCCATAAAAGAGAATTCAAAAAAAAAAATTTTTTTTTTAAATCAAACTCAATACGCATTTACGAGTAGTTTGATATACTACTATGTCCTATATGTAAGGACTATTGAAGGATATTGTGAAAAAAAAAGAATTGTAAGTGTGTTAATTGGAATAAAGAATTGGAGCATATGAAGATGTATGAAAATAATTGTTCCAAAATACATATACTCGTATGTATGTGGAGAGTAAAAGTACAAATATCAATGGCAGACAATTGTCACTGCATAAAATTGTGTAAACTTTGGTAATGACTTACATAGTTACAGATACAAATATATCAGGCTATCTATATGCAGAAGGAAAACATATGAATTGAACAGTATAGGTAAGTAGTACAAACTATTACTTTATATCGATATATGAAGGTGTAGGTAGAAACAAAAATACTGAAAAATATCAATTGAAATTTAAATTGAAATTTTTGTTTAAAGAAATCTTGTAATTGAAACCAAACATTTTAAAGTGGTAAAATTACTAGGTTACTGATACAGCCATTATAAATATCTGATATACATGAAGATAATAGTACGTTTTTACGAGGTGACCTTTAAAATAGTTGTTAATTAAATAAGAATTTTAATTAACATAAGGAAATAGATTTGTTATACATAGCTTTAATGTTAGTTATTGTGATCGTAATCAAATGTATATACTTTATTATGCACATATATGGGGGAATGACAAAAAACTGTATAAAGATTTCTAAGGATCTGGGGTTTAAAATTAACCTAATAAATGACTGAAATTAACTTAAAATGCTTAAAAACATTTTTTCAACGATATATCAGTGTAAAGCTGAAGTCATATTCTATCTGTACTTTGAAGTAAAACACAGAGATATATATGAGGAAATGGCAAGAATGGCAAGAAACTGGTTAAATTATTCTAAGAATCTTGGGTCTAAACTTACTCTAATAAATCCTCAAAATTAAGTTAAAGTATTTGAAAAAATTTATTTAACAATATATAAAAGTGTAACACAAAGTTGATGACAATAACTTAATAATATTATTATTTATTGGTTCATATTCATTTATGAAGCCTAAGCTTTCCAGTAATTTCTGATTGCAATGCCTGCAATGGGTGTTACTGCAGCTCAAATATCTTAAACGATATCTTATTTTCACGTAACCCTCTATTCTTTTTGAAATAATGATATTACATCAGTTGGGCTGAAATTACTTCATCATTCATATTAAGTACTGATTTTTTGTGTTACATTATATATCATTATATATTGTTACATTATATTACATTATATATCAGTTTTTAATACGACGAATAACTGTCATTAACAACGGAGCAAGAGCAGATAGAAAAATTTTAACGGTTTGGAGCTCAAAAGTCATCGATTAACACTTAGTGACCTCACCGTTACTCCTATAACTTTATTTAGATCAGTCTAGACCATTTTGAAAGATGTTTTGTTTCTTGAATGATTGATAAATTATTTTTTATCAACAGCATTTTTTTTTTTTTTAAAAACCAGTGCCAAACAATGTCTTCGGTTCATCTAAATGAGACGAACTGCAAGATAGCTAAATATGAGACTTGCATTTATATAGGTGACATATCAACAACCGATCAATATAGCGAATATAGTGAAATATTGCACAAAAATTTCTTTAAAAATTAAAGCCACATTAACATTTTTACTCGATAATCAGGGAGTGGTACATTATGAGTATTTTCCACAGAGCAAAACTCTTACACAAAGTATATTATTTGGCGGTATAAAATATTTACGTGTAGCTATTTGAAAAAAATAACAAAGGTCAGAATAATGAACAGAAATTTCATAGTTCTTGCGAACGCACCATCTTACACTGTTTTAGTTATCCTAGACACAGTTATCGTTTAGTTATCTTTAAAAATTCATTTCATATCATTTCACTACCTTTATATTAGCCTGATTTAGCACTGTGTGTCTTTTGACTACCTCTAAACTCAGGAGATCACTTCGAGGACACCACAAGATAAGATACAATTGATGAGATATAAACGAAATCGTTCAGTGCTTTGAAGGCCATTTCGGAAATCGACTTTAATAATTCTTTTAAGAATTGAAAAAACTTTGGCTTAAGAGATAGTGGACAAATTGGAATAGGTTTTATACAATAAATTAGGAATTCAAAAATTTAAACAATTTTACCTTATTTTATGATCACAAATAATAACTCTAAAATACACTCATTAGAAGAAAATTATACCAGCAAATTGTTCGATAATTTTTAGTGAAAATGTATATGTTAATCTTTAATAACAAATTTTAATAAAGTTTTCTTTGTTTACTTAAATTTTTTTTGAATATATGTTGTAATTTAAAGTCAAATTTTTCAGACGAAAGTGTCTATTATATTTTTAATAGAAACTTTTTATATTCTATAAAGAGATTTTTTCGAACAGTAGTGAACTACAACAACAAAAATTCATTTTATATTATTTTAATTAATTGAATTTTTGGCTGAACATACAACTGTTTCGAATATTATTATTAGAACAATTTTTGTTATTATTAATAAAGGTGTATACTTGTTTCTTAATATTATCTAAAGTATCTTAAACTTTTTTTTGTTTTGTATTATAACATATGTTAGAAATTGTTTATTACTTTCCAAAAAAAAATAAAAATACTACAAATAATTAGTTTATTTTTCCGTTAAATTTATTAGAACACAAACTAATTAACTAACTTATTTTTCTAATAGAATATTAATATATTAATTATTATTATTTAATAAAAATATAATAAAATTTTTTTATAAAAGTGTATTGTTTCATTTACTTTTTAATTAAAAAATATTTCACAAAAATTTGTATCTTTTCACTGAATGAGTAACTAAATTCACGTTGCTATAAACACGAACTAACGGTAACAAATTTACTACGAAATGTATCTGCTACCAATGAAAAAGTGAAACTAATGACAAAACGCAGTACGACACAAGAACAAACGTAGATAATGAAATCGACATTTCGTTTTGTTGTCATTTTTTATGTTCCGTTTTAATTTTTTATACACTCAGATACATTTTGATTTTAGATGCAAGCAACTGCAAGGGGTAATTTTGGTTTAGATACATTTTATGAATCATAAAAGCGACTGTCGGTTGCCGCACTGCACTGCACGGCGCGGCACGGTACTCGTATGTTTATCAACAAATTAAAATGTGAAAAGCTAATATGAAAAACATTTCACCGCACAAAAAGTGGAAAATAATAATAAAAACAAAAACAAAAACAAAACAGAAAAATAAAATAAAAATGCAAAATGAGGTGGAAAAAACAAGAATTTAATGAAATATCCATAAAAGCCAAAGCGAATTACTCTTTATAGTTTAATGACTGGGTTTATCGCTGTGGGTGCGCAATTTTTTTATACGTCAAGAATTTTTACTACACATTTTTTATTCGATTGTACATTTTTAAGCATTTTTAATTTTTACTTATATGGTTTGCTTTTAATAAGTAACGTGGTGAACTGAGTTATGCAGTGCGCATCTTTTGAAAAATTGACTTTAATAAAAAGAAATCAATCAATCTCACTGAGGCATGAAAGTAATTTTTCGAACGCTTTATATGTGTCTTATAGGTTGGTCAAATGAACAGAGGTTGTATGTAGTGTGAGTGTGCTTAATACAGAAAGTAAGTAGGCTTATTATTGGAAAAATTATGTCAAGTAAACGAATTTTTTTTTCAATAAAGATGAAACTTTAAATATTGAAAAAATAGGGGAATAGTCATTCATTTTATGAACAAATTATTTTTATTAATTAATTGCATACAGCCAAATCTATGGGTCAATCCAAATTGTTACAGAAACCCTTCAAAGACGAACTAATAATCAAAATTAAGAATTACTAAGAGTAGAAAGCTGAAAGCTGAGCTGCATATATGGTACAATGCAAAGCCGATGACAACCAGGTACAGAAGTATGCTAGGAACAAGATGGGATGAGAACGTGTATGGTGATTTAAAAAAGATTGGAGTACTGAACTAAAAGAGAGTAGTAGAAGCTTGTGACAAATAGGGGCAGATCGTGAGGGACGCTAAGGTTTATAGTGAACTGTATTGCCAAATAAGAAGAAGATACAGCCAGGAAAAGTTATGATATAAACCAGGGCTTTGAACCAGAACCAATAGTCTCAATTATTTTATTTTAAAGTAGTTTTTTTTTAGTTTCCTATTAACAATTCCTTTTAGAACTTACTAAATTTATTTTTTTACTGTAACTTATAAAACTATTTTAAGAGATATTTTTAAGCAGCTATTTACTTTAAACTTATTTTAATATTAAATGAGTATTAAAAAACTTAAAACAGATATATATTTATTTTTTGCAATATTTATTCAACCTAGCTGCAAGCTGCAGTCTTTTACCAACAATTGTCTGCGAAATATATTGAGATTTTGGTGGACCCGTGTCGTGGAGAATGAATCCTTGCTGCAACTTACAAACCAAGAAAACTAATGTACAAATAAAATGACGGAAATACAACTGGCACGGGCACACACTAAGAAAGCTCTATGAAAAGGTCTATCATGCTGACCTACAATGGAATCCACAAGGCAATAGAAGACCCGGCAGGCCTCGTACCACATGGAGAAGAACAATCAGACAGGAAACTAATTAATCATTTAACGAATTAAGACATTTAGCCTTAAACAGAAGTACCTGGCGATTCTATGTAAATAGTCTATGTTCCTGATGGAACACGGCTTTTATAATAATATTTTGTTTAAATTTTTTTTTTGAACATTTTATTTTTTGTATTATTTTCTTAATAATTTTTTAATAATTCGTTTTATTAATATTTTGTTTTGTTAAAACCGGAACTGAACGGAAATATTTTTTTTGCTTTTAAACCAGAACGAAAAAAATTTCATTTCGAAGCCCTGATATGAACAACAAAAGTTTTTTAATTATATATAGCTGTGGTTTATGTATTCGTTGTAATGCATAACTATAATTCGATGCATTATTGTCACTTCGTTTACACAAAATTTACTCCTTACTTATTTGAATGACCGTAACAACCCGTTATCGTGTTTCGATGTGACACAGCACTCCGCTTCGGTTGCTCCCGCTACGTGCATGCGTATTCTAGTCTTGTACAAAAAAGTGTGGTTAATGTACTTCCTTAACTTGATCACTCCACCGGAGCCGCGAATCACATTTTCTTCTTCCAAATTCTACTTCAAGTACATTTTTGCTTGAGCATCACTATCCATTCTCACGATATGACTAAGACAGCAAAGTCTCTGGATGTTTATTCGACAAATTATAACATTTACAACAAATTATTATTAAAATTACAAATTATTTATTACGATATGATAATATTCGTACAACCCGTGGTTCATTCAATTGCGGTAGTCGTTGCCAACACATAGATGACTAAAGATCTTACGAATAACTTTTCTCTAGAAAATTCCCAGTGGTTTATTTGGATGTAGTAGTCGTTGCCAAACTTATAGAGGAGCAACATCTTATGAAGAGCTTTTCTCTCGAAAATTTCCAGTGGTTCATTCGGATGCAGTAGTCGTTGTAAACTCATAGAGCACAAATGATGTTAAGAAGAGCTTTTGTCGAAAAAACCGCCTGTGGTTTAGGTTAAAGTAAGTAAAATTTTGAAATGTGTTACTCTGTAATTTTCTTTATAATTTAATTATTATTAAATTATGTATTATACCAGGTGTATAAGTTTATGCATAAGTTTATACTGAGTTTTTTGAGGCTTTATTAATTTGTGAAACCCTTAATATAGCACTACTGCTATAATTAGGTTGAAGTACCATAAGTAAAACTTTGAAATGTATTACTCTATAATTTTCTTCATAATTTAATTATTATTAAATTATGGTTTAATTATAGTTTATGTATAAGTTTATTCCGGTTTTTTGATTTTGTTGATAAAATAACTATTTGTTTTGTTAAAGTCTCAAATTCCTATAAATCATACAAGCCCTTTCTTTTGGGTTTTTGCAATCACAATGTACCTTTTCTACCCCAGCTTATGGGGTCCTTAAAATATTTATGTTATAACAATATTATGATAATCGCATTTATTGAAATTTAATATCTAAATATGACCCTGATTTGGATTTTACCGGCTTAACGTAATAAATTTTCCTCCTTAAAGACTTAAAAAATGAAAACTTTAAAAGAATTTTCGCACTCAAATCTATAAGCTGATAACAAAGACACACAAAGAGGAAAAGTTTTTCCATTTTCCATTTACATGCCCTTTGCTTATATTTCTTTATATAATTTTCCACATTTGTGATAATTTGCTTGAAATTACATTATTATTATTATATAACATACCTTAAAAATTTGCAGACATTGCTCAACGCATTTACATAATTCCTCATAAGCATGAAAAATGGCGCCTTCCCTCGTTTTGGCCTAAAAAATTTCTTGAGATTTCTTTTGTTCGTGATTGCCACCTACATTTTGTTAAATAACTTATGCAAATCTAACATCTTTTATTACCAATGCGGCGTATCTGACACAACTGACGCACAGTGGACCTACAGTAGTGAGGTGTCATGAGTCTGCTGACTCTGCTGAGTCTTCATAAGTCTTAAGTGGGCAGCAATAGTAGCAGTAGTAGCAGTAGTAGCAACAACTAAACACTAACACCAGCAAATTTCTACACATAAACAGAGCGCCGCGGCTCACTGTCAGTGTGCTGAAGTATGCTGCGTTGTTGTCCCATGAAGACTCACTTTATGCCTCCCACCCCTAGTAAAATGCTTTTCGCATAAAGCAATTGCGCTGCTATAAAGGCAAGTGCAATGGAAAAGCACAGCAATCCGCAGGGGCACTTTTATTGCTACAGCAATTTTTTGTTGTAGTTTTTTTTTTCTGCAGCTTGAATATGTATTTTTAAGTTCGTGTTGGTTTTCTTTTTTTTGTTTTTTTTTTCATTTGCTATTTGTTGCGGAACTTACCTTGCAATGTGTGTGCGTGTGTGTGTGTGTGTATGAGTATGGCAATGTTGTTGAAAATTTATGCCACAACAAATGTTATTGTTGTAGTTGTCGCCATTTTAGAAGAAGACAAATCGCTTTTGCATCTCAACATTAACGCTCAACATTTTAGTTTTCGCCTGTTCCTCAAACAAATTCTCTGGGTGCTGATAAATTTGTCTCTCATAAAAATGTTTTAGAAAATTTTATAATAAATATTCTTTATATTTTTTTTACCTTACTTATGGTCTCTTGTGCTGTTGGCAAAGTTCGTAATGTTGGCAATGTTGGCTAAGGTTTGAGACATTCGTCCATGTCCTTACCACTGTGTCCTTACTACTACTTTAAACTCTCATATACGTGGCTACAACTCGATTGTCTTCAGGTTTCATTATTTATGAGCATTTTGCCGTGAAATTATCTTTTGTTTTTCTTGCGCTGCTTAAGGACTTCATGAGTGCAAAGCGCTTGATAAGGTAAAAGGCTGGACAAATATTTGCATTATTAATGAATTCGAGGTGACAAGTGATGATTTTAAAAATATTATTTGTATGACATCATTACAAACAACCAAAATGGATATGATCCTAGCACTAAAGGGACATCACTAAAATTGCGAAAATTAATATAAATTTCATCTGAGAGCATCTTTCTTAAGATAATATTTAAAGAATAGAATCAGCATTTAATTCAGTCAAGCTAAGATTTTTTAAAAATTATAAATTTTGAATTTATTTTTAGAAAGAATGTTTCTTAATTGCGTGAGATACATAAATATGTTTAGAAAGAGTAAATGAGTGATATATATATTGTTAGAACATAGATTAAATTAGATTTGAGAACAGATTGAGAACTTCTTCACCATGTCACTGCATCCTTTAAGGAATATTGTGACATACCCACTTTAGTTCCAAAGAC